TCAGAGCCTGGAGCCTGCTTCAGTCTGTGACTCCCTCTTTCTCTGACCCTCCCCTGCTCACGCTGTCTCTCTCTCTCCTAGAAATAAATAAAAATATTAAAAAAAAAAAAGAAGATGTTCAGGTAAAGTTCGATAATCACTTGTGTTTTTACCTGGATATTAAAGCTGGGAGATCAAATAATTGCTCCAGATGTTACAGATAGCAAATGGAAGGGAAGTTATTCAAACCAAATCTGGCTGGACTTCAGAGCTCACTTCTGTAATACCTACACTATACTAACTCCTGGGATACCCTTTACTTGAAATTAAATCAGAGCCATGTAGAGAAGGTAGAGCTTTTAATTCAAACATTCAGTTCTATAGCAGGGAAAAATGAGGCTAAGAGAAGTTAAGTAATTCCAAGACCTCTTGCACTAGAATCACATACAGTTAATCACACGATTTGGGGTGGGTGAATCAAAATAAATTCTAAATGGTAAAAGAAGAGGGTGCTATGAGAGCAAATACTTAGGGAGTGGAATATGGCCTGGAAAGTTAGATAAGGAAGTATTGTTTGAATTAAGGTCTGGAATAAGAACGGAAATTAACTAGGGCAAGGAGGAGGAGCATATTACAGTTGACCCTTGAACAACACGGGTTTAAACATCATGCATTCACTTACACACAGACTTTTTTCCCCCATAAATACAGTACAGTACTGTAATTTTTCTTATGATTTTCTTAAAAACATTTTCTCTTCTCTAGCTTACTTTATTATAAGAATATAGTATATAATACATATAACATACAAAATATGTGCTAATTGTTTATGTTGTCAGTAAGGCTTCTGGTCAACAATAAATAGATTTGGGGGATGCAAAGTTATGTGCAGATTTTCAACCACGTAGGGGGCTGATGCCCCTTAAGACCCTCATTGTTCAAGGGTCAACTGTACACACAGATCTCAAGTGAAGGGGAATGGGTTGTTGGAAAAGTCTTTATAAGAAGAATGCAAAGAGGTGGTTGGTTCTAAGGCAAAGCTGGAGAGAAACGCAGAGGCCAGATCATTTGGGGAATTTTCAGCCTTATGAAGGTTCTGGTTAATGATGTGGCCAAGCTGACACAACTAGTAAATGGAAAAAGCTAAGATTCCAAAACCAAGTCTTCTGGCTCCAAAGCCTGTAGTCTTTTCACAACTCTATACCACAAAGTAGCAAAAAGACTAGAATGAACACATTTTGTGTCATTCTGACTTTAATTCAAAAAATAAAACTGGATTAGGAGCAGAACATTTATCTGGAAGATACTCCACAGTGGAGTGGAGTGGAATTTCAAATGGAAGGAGTCTCTCGTGTTCCTGCATGTTTCCTAAATATACTAAAGTTCCAAGCTCTGGAGGACTCTTTATCTAGTCTATTTCTCAAAACTGATTTGCAGCAAGTAAATTTGAGGGGTGAGCTAACCTCTCCATCTGGGAGAAAGAGCAGGCTTGCTTCTGCTTACTATAAAAAGCAGTGGATTCCCCAAGCTAAGCATTCTTCTCTCATGCAACCCACTGTGGGGGCAGGCATCTTTATGGGCCCTCTGCATTGCACCTCTGAGATTTGGAGGCGTGGTGAATTGATGTAAACATGATGCTCCTGCTGTTCGCTGTGTTGTGAGTAATAAAGTCCTTTGTCTCTGACCCACAAGTCTTCTACCAGCATCTATGAACCAGCAGGAGGCTAACTTCTTAGGTGGTCAATAGGATTAAATCAAACCCCAAACCTAAAAGTTTACATCTAAACTACCAGTGGCCCCTGGAAAACTTGAGAAAAAAAGAAGGTGTAAGAGTAAGCAATCTTAAAATAGTAAGAAGGAACAAATACTGATTATTAAATTAGTCAGCTTTTTGCATGGGTTTATCTAAACTGCCCCTCCAATTCTTCACCCTCTGGTTTTATAAAAAGAAGCCCTGACTTTAGGACTTAAGGCTCCAAACTGCCCTTTGGTGGTACTCTGCTTCTTTTTATGTTAAGCCCTAGAAAGCTAACTTCTCCTGTGCTGGTGGGAACCGGGGCAGCGGCGTTAGCGTTGCTGGGATCACTCTCCATGAAAGGAGGACTGGCTGACTTCAGTCAGTTTCCCAGTTGAGGGATACCATGGGGAGGTCACTTTGGTGGGTAATTTGTCAACTGTATGATGCAGAGGCGAGAAATATTTTAGCGTTCACTCTGGCTACTCTCTCCTCATTTTTTGAAATCAATTTTTAATGTTTTATTTATTTCTGAGAGAGAGAGAGAGAGACAGTGTGAGCAGGGGAGGGTCAGAGATAGAGGGAGACACAGAATCCTGAAACAGGCTCCAGGCTCTGAGCTGTCAGCACAGAGCCCGACCGAACCGTGAGATCATGACCTGAGCCGAAGTCAGACGCTTAACCGACGGAGCCACAAAGGTGCCCCACTCTCCTCATTTTGTAATTTGACTTTTTGTGGGGAGGAGTAACTTGGCCAAAATCAACCTATGAGTGAATGGCAGAGTGGAACTCCACTGTTCTTTTCACCACTCTGCTTCTAATCCACTTCTCCAGAACTATCATCAATTCATTGCAATTATGTGGTACTGACTTACCATGCTCAAATCTGGTGGATAAACAAGAATTTAATTCATTTACAATTGTAGATATGTAACTTTCTAGAGGGGGATTGCTTCCATATCAAGGGTAAGACTTAACCGACTTAAGCTTAAGTCATAAATCAAAAAGTTGCCTGGTGAGCATAGAATTGGAACATATTTAAAATGTGTATTCTCCAGTGTTATAACCATCAGACTTGAGTAGCCATATGGATTCCTCTTGATTTAGTGTATTACTACTTATAGAAGTTTGGATTGGAGTTTGGAATTTGTTCACTTGGATACTATTTCTTTACCATCTAATATGTGTCAGACACCTACTATATGTAGGCTCTGGACCTAAGGATATTAGCCTCTGGCAAGTGCTTTATAGAGACATATTTATTATCCAAATACTCTATTAAATTAGCCATCTAAGTACCATTACTTCATCTTGAAGGAAAGAATTTTTACTTTCAGGAGTTTTATAATATCTTTCTTGAATCTCATTATCAGTCTGTATACTAGAGAGTAATTATCATATTTTACAAAGGAGGAGACTGAGACTTAATGTGGTAAAATAATGTGTTTCAAGTGACATGATTAGCAAGTGGCAGGCCCAGGAAGACCCAAATCTACCTTATTTGAAGTACCTTTGCTTTCCACTATACCCGTTAACACAATTTTCTTAAAATTGGGTTCATTGGGGCGCCTGGGTGGCTTAGTCGGTTAAGCATCCGACTTTCACTTAGGTCATGATCTCTCAGTTCGTGGGTTCGAGCCCTGCATCGGGCTCTGTGCTGACTGCCAGCTCAGAGCCTGGAGCCTATTTCAGTCTGTGACTCCCTCTCTCTCTGACCCTCCCCTGCTCACGCTGTCTCTCTCTCTCTCTCCTAGAAATAAATAAAACATTAAAAAAAATTTAAAATTGGGTGCATTACTTTCTAGGCATAGTCATATTAAGGTCTTTATTCTGTGACTCTATACTCCTACTTCCATGATTTGGGAATGGTTCTAATCTCATCTACAAATCAATTCTGCAAACAGTTATTTAAAATGAACTATGTACAAAACGTACTATGTACAAATCACTGAGCCATTCTCTGGAGGATGTAGAGATGAAAAAGACAGGATCTTTGTATTATTAGAGATTACAATACACATACACAAACACAAAACCTGGAATTAAGCTGACTAAAGACACAAACAAAATGCTATGGGAACATAGGGAAGAAAAAGTTAGAATTAGGGAGGTTTGAGAAGGGTTTTGGAGCAGGGAATTGAAATTTCAAAGGTAAGATTGGTAGAAGACACACACAGACACACACACACACACACACAGACACACACACACACCTGAAATGTGAGGTAGCCTGGGGGTGGGGTGCTTTGGTGGATCAGCTGGTAGAGCATGAGCCTCACATTTTCCTTATAAACAAACAAATAAATAAGCAAACAACAATAACAACAGGAACAACAAGAGATGTAGCCTGACGGCAGGAGAGTGCTGGGCATCACCTACATTGTGGGGAACAGAATATACTGGTGGTATTGTTGCAGATGATGCAAGAAAGATACAAGTTGAGTTGTAGAGGGCTTGCACATCAGCTAGAAAGTTTGGAACTGAATTCTGTATGTAAGGAAGATCCTTACAGGGATTTGGGGCAGGGGAGAAATCCAGTTCAGTAAAGATAATGCATATGGCCTTTTATAGCTTTACCACTGGATCCCGTCAGCTTTACGTGGTGTCTGGAACTTGTTCTGTGCGAATAAAACATGTTAAATGAATGAAATTGAGGGGAATAGACTAGATATTGTATTATCAACTAGGTTACTGTAATAATAGTTCAGGAAGAGGGCAGATGTAATTAACACTGTAGAAGTGAAAATGCCTGTCCTTGACATCTGGGTTTGGGCTTTATGGGAAGGGAAGGTGTTAAAGAAGGCTGACTTTGTTCCACAAGGAAGATAGCGATATTGGGAACAGGGTGCATGCAGGTAGAAAAAAGATGGTTTGGGGAGAGTGGGAATAAGAAAGATTCTTAATTCTGTTTTGAATTATGTTGTGTTTAAAATGCTGGTAGGATCTCTAGTAAAAGAATTTTTAAGTCTATAGCATTCGTGAGCCTTCTTTGAGGTGGTACCATGTTCATATACCTCACTTTATCCATAGTTTATACAGATTTGTACTGATTTCAGTTTGATATTTTCCTTACATTCCTTACAATTCTGGGGAAGTATCTTATTTTAGTTCGTACCCTATGCAAGAACTACCTTAAGCAGAAAGAGAAGGGGAAAATACATAAAAGTAGTTGGAGGCGAAGTGATCTTCAGATTTCATGCTTTAAGCTGGGCAAATTGTACCCTTCATCTTCATTAGCTCGAGTATCATGGACAAACATATTTTAAAGGACAGATCCTGTACTTACAAATCAGGCGGTAACCGAAAAATATGCATGTACAAAAATGACTTATACCTGAAAAAGTAGTAAGTCCAGGTGACCACAGGTGACATGGTAGTTTATTGACTTTCTTCTGACGGTGGCTTTTATTTGGTAGAACCTTTGGAAGTTGTTTTTCGAGTCCTGCTGATAATCTGAATTATAAGGGATTCATTTATTCCTTCCCACGTGCCATTTTGAGCTATATGTAATTGGGAGCAGACACACTGCATTTATCAGTCCAGAACATGATGGTGTCCCTCTCTTTCTTTTCCCAAACTTCACAGCTAACTTCCTGACTCGACCATCCCACGTGGGCGGGAGCCGAACGGATCCCGCCAGGAGTGGCGCTTCTCCCCCACCCCCACCTGGCGGACACGTGCCCCAGGGGCCGTTGGAGTGCACAGCAACGGTCCCTTTTGTCCGGTAGGCGGGCGCCAGAGCGGTCTGGCTGGCGCGGGAGGTGGGGCGCGAGCCGAGCAGGAGACACCACGGGCGGGGCCGAGGGGTGTGAGAACCGGCAGTTGGAGCTGGGGCTGGGGAAGCTCTCCGGCTTGCAACTGAATACAGTGAAGTAGAAAAAGCAAGGTGCAAAACAGATAAGCATAGGAGGATCGTGTTTACGTAGGAAGATACACAGCGCCAGACTAGGAGTACACACTTATGTATGTAAATGCACTGGAAAAGGTCTGATGGGGCTCTGGGGAAAGGAGGAAGCTGGGAGGGCTGACGAAGAGAGCTGACTTTGTGCGCTGTGTATGTGAGATTCTTAACATTATTGTTTGGGAAGAAAATGTGATCATGTAATTGAAAAAAAAAAATCTGCACTTGGCAAGTTTGTTTATTCTCTTGGCTTCCCATCAGTAGAGACGGCCTCAGACTTTCAGAGCGCAGCCAGACAGGAGTCAAGCAAAGCCCCTTGCCTTTTCCCTTCTCACTGCTTCACCTCTTGTCCCCCCTCACCTTGACCTCCTCGGAGTTGGCCTTGGCTTTTGTGGAAAAGTCTTCCACACAGCTCTTGTCCACAGATCCACAGATCTGCCTGCAAACCCTCTTGAAAGGAGAAAACACTTTGAAGATAGTAAATCACCCTCAGGCACATAAATGTATGAACTGGACATTATTCCTAAACTGTATTTGATAAAAATTGAGATAAGATGTTTACAGGGTATTTCAATTTTTTCTCTGAAGCAGTTAATGCCATAATGTCCTATGAATATGCCCATAATTACTTTCTTTAAGTTTTATTTTGAAATAATTTTTGACTTAGAAAAATGTTACAAAAATGGTACAAATAATTCCATGATATCCTTCACCCAACTTTCCCAGATGTTAGCATTTAACACAACCATAACACAGTGAGTATAAGTAGGAAATCAGCATTACTACTACTCTGCTCACTAATCTACAGATATTATTCAAATTTCTACAATTATGCAACAAATGTCCCTGCCCCCATCCCCACCAGTCCAGGATTCGGTCCCAGATCTAAAATGCATTTAATTGTTATGTTTACATAGATACTTCTGATCTGTGATAGTTTCTCAGTTTTTCTTTTCATCACTATACTTTTGAAGAATACTACTGGCCAATTCTTTTGTGAATGTCCTTTAACTTGGTTTACTTAGTATATTCTCATTATTAATTCAGTTTATGCAGGTTGGGCAAAAATATTAAATTATGTTGTGCCCTTTCTAGTGCATCATATCAGGAGGCACAAGATGTCAACGTGTCATTAATGGTGAGGTTAATTTATTTCTTGGTTAAGGTGGTGGCTGCCAGGTTTGTCCAATGAAAAGTTGTGATTGATCTTTTTGCATTGGGTCATAGGAGGCAGACACCCTCATCATATGTACACCAGTTTTACCATCCATGATCCTTGACTGCAGCAGTTAGTACTGAGGTGTTTGCCATGGTGGTTTTTCTATTTTCATCATTCCTGTTAAATTTCAATATGGATATTTAAATGCACAATAACCTTTTAAAAAAACTTTTACCTTCTATGCTTAATCTAGGTGGAAAAGGCATTTGGAGGCTGTGTGATATGCTGTGGAATTAGTGGCTAAAATGGAATTTATAAATGCATTGCAGATAGCCGAATTTTAAAAGAAAAATTCACTATTCTTAATACTTGTAAGGACGCAGATTCTAAAATCACAGTTTACCTGGATCTGCAAGCTCATTAATTGAACTGAATTGATTACTCCTGTGTTTGTGTCCATCTCTGACCCTTTTCAGTATCTGTTATCTATGAATCCTATCCCTGGTAAATGGTACTTAATAACAGAACAAAAAGTCTTCCATTTTATTTCCAATATGATACTAATTTTAGCTGGCATTTGCAAAACTGATCTTTAACTTAACAATACATTTGAATCTTAGCCAATATTTCACTTTAGACTCCGTGTTTGCTGAAAAGATTTACTGAAAGTTGATGCACTGCAAGTAAGGTGAAATTCTTGTGGGTGAAACTTAGATATTTCAATCCATTTGGCTATCAAACATTTAGCTAAACCTCATTTGATTAAGTTACCCTGTGCAGCATTTTCCCTAAACCTTCATTACTGTAGCTGGAAAATTGGTCCAAGATTGGGTCTCAGCCTTGATGTCAATTTTTCTTGCTTTCAGTAAGAAGGAAAACAGGAGAGTAAGTTTGGGGTTTTTGTTGTTGTTTTGTTTATATATCACTGATCCTCTGTAGTGTCTGATATCTATGGATCCTTTCCGTGGTAAAATGCACAAACCCCATGTTGCATAAGAGCACAAGCAGTCCACTGTCAAATGTGGGGAGGTAGGGAGGAGGTTATGGGGAGGGAAAAGCTGGCTGCCAGGCTGTCAGAGTTTCCCAGACACGGTTTCCCCTCCTGCCATATGGCACGGTCAGCCTCTTTTGGCAGCTCAGGTGGGGCTGTTAAGGCTGCACAGCCCATCTGGCCCCTCGTCATTTCCATCTAGACCTCTCACCTAACCCCCCACATCATCCTCTGCTTTATTACTTGGCCCCCAGGCTGCTCAGCTTTCTTGCTGGCTCTTCACGGCTCATGAGATGCTCCCTGTCACCAGCTTTCACCAACTCTCGAACATCTTGTTTGGGAAGATAGCGCAGAAGCTCAAGTGAGAGAACCTGACCACTTCCAAATTGCTACAGCAGAGAAGCACTTACTGAATGCATATGCAATGCTCCCCCTTCTCATCACCACAGAACTCTTGCCACGTTTTCCTGCCTATTTAAAAATGGAGCAAAAGCTGATGAACGCGTCGGGGGAATACGTCTAATATCTGTGGTTTATACAAACGGTGACCGTTACCAATGGAGAGAAAGTCCCGTTATAACGAAACTTTTTCCCCCCCTGAAAATGGAAAGAACGTGAACTCACAGAACCCGCTTCTTGGCCCGCCAACCCCCTCGCCTCCTGCTGGTGTGACAGCCCTCGGCGCCGGGCCCAGCTCCGGCCCGCCAAGGCTCGCGGCAAAGCTTGGCGCTCCAGCGCGCGCCTCCGCGGACAAAGAGCAGGCGGCGGCGACGCGGGGCCGGAAGGTGGAGGCGGAGGCGGGCGGAGGCGCGCGCCGGGGGAAGCCCTCCCGAACTCTGACGTCACCAGAGCGCTGGCCAATGAGAAGCGGGAGAGGGGGATTCCCGCTCCGGCTGCCGCCCCGCCGGCTTTTTAAACGGTACCCGGGAGAATACTGTCTAGGAGCGGTGGGAAGAATCGGAGAAATGGAGGTTAAGAGTGAAAAATGATGGTCCTGGGGGTGAGAGTAGAGGTTTGACGATTAGGCGTCAAGACTGGCTTAGACGGGGGCGCAAAACCAGAGCCGATCGAAGTGAGGCCACACACCGAGGAGGGCAAAGTCCTCCGGAGATGGAGTGGAAACTGGAGCGCACAGCCCGGCGGAGGGTCCGGACGGAGGAAGAGATGTTGTGGGTGAGTAATGTCCTTATGTTTCCCAGCCACAACTCCCTACAGGGGCTTTTTGTCGAAGGCACCGTTTGTAATACCTGCTGAGGATCAAGAGGTAGTACAAACTCTAAACCCTGATCCTTCGTTTTGCAGTGTGTAATCTACTTGTGTTCTAGAGGCGTCTGGTTGCTAGAGAAACTGAGTCAATGTGGTTAGACAAGCTGAGGGTCTAGAAACATTCCACAGCGAATATTATGATTTTTAAAAATAGTTTTTCTCTCCATATGTTATCTATATTTTCGAAGGAGAACATCATGCAGGTGCTCGCCAAAGACATGAAGCAAAAGAGAAGTCAGGATTCTCCTAAGGTAAGCGTCTAGTGCTTACTGTAATTCTCTTAATTCTGATTTGGAACAAACTGATTCTTCCTAAAGAAGATGCTTGTTGGGCTGGTCTGAGAATATGAAAATTTAAAGTTTCCTAAAATATCACTAACTAGAGTCTAATTATACACCCTCCCCCACCGCCCATATTTCTATAAGAAACGGAAACTCCCTGACAGTAGTAATCATCTGTATATCAGTGGTGCTTTTCTACTTTTAGGCTCAACAGAAAGGATGAAGCTTTGATGTAGTCAGCGCATTGCTAGCTGGCTTTTAAAATTTCATTTTAACAGTTGCGAGTTGTACTTCCCGGTTGCATTTAAAAGCTTGCCCCCAATAGAAATGGAAATGGTGCCATCTTGTGGACAATCGGGAGAAATGGCCTAATCCAAGTTCGGTCTTCAGGTTAAAATTGATCCAATGTATTACTTTTACTCCTTGAAAGTCTAGAGCCAAGGCCTGCAGCTTCTCTCTTAATCAATGTAAGAATAAAACCAATATAAACGAGTTTTTCTTACTTTTACTACATCAACAGCCCTCATATGATTTATATCTCCCATAATCACCATTCACCTTGCTTCTCTCTACATGAAGTTGTTTGTATTCCTTTAAATTTTACTCATAGAGGGGCGCCTGGGTGGCTTAGTCGGTTAAGCGTCCGACTTTCGCTTAGGTCATGATCTCGCGGTTCGTGGGTTCGAGCCCCGCGTCGGGCTCTGTGCTGACTGCCAGCTCAGAACCTGGAGCCTGTTTCAGTCTGTGACACCCTCTCTCTCTGACCCTCCCCTGCTCACGCTGTCTCTCTCTCTCTCTCTCTCTCCTAGAAATAAATAAAAACATTAAAAAAAATTTTTACTCATAGATTCTAGTTTCAAACCCATTAACATTTTTACAGATTTTTCTTAGTCTTTTTTAAACTTTGAAATATTTAAGTGGTGACACAATAAATCAAACACATAACAGCCCTTTCAGAATGCAGTGGCTAATGTAGTTTGTAATGGGAGACAAAATAATGACAACTGAAGTCTCTAAATATTTTAATATTGATTCTTTCTTTCCAAAAGAGCTAAAATTTTGTTTTATGCCCAAATTGCATGTTACCATGACTCCTAAATACTTTGCTGCCTAATACAGACAACTGGTCTTTTGGTCAAAAGAGAAATAATTGCAAAGCTACAGTTAAGTATAACTTTGTTAATTCACTTGTACTGCAAAACCGTATTTTGATATTCAAGCATTTACTTTGAAATAGCTAAGTCCAAGTATTCTGAGATTTCTTTTTAAAATTTTGACGAGATTTAAAAATATTGTTTTTCTTTTTTATAATAGTTTTGGAGTAACAGGTTTTGTTTATAAGTTTTCTTTTATGTGACTGTTAAGATTACAGTTTTGCTACTGTGTTGCATGTTGCATATAGTAGCTTCGGTGACTTCATGGGCCATGAAAAGTAGCAGTGACCTGAGTCAGGTAGGCAGTGTGTTGTTAGCTGGCTGCTTTGGGCCAATTTGGCAGCCACAACTACCCTGCCACTTGCTTCTGGATAAATTCTTCTTTTTAACACACTGCACTGGTTTGCTGTGTGTGATGGGTTGGCAGTGTATTGTTAGCTGGTTGAATATGTGGACGGCATCAGCTAACATGCAACTGCTATCCTATTGCATATACAATGAACATCAGAGTATAATTAATTCTGTGATTAGTGTGTGTGTTTGGTGCATGTATATACTTTTGCCATGATTATTATATTATTATATAATTATAATACTATAGACAAGGTTATAAGTGGTGAAGAAACCAATATGATTCTTTTTAAAAATTTTTATTTTTATTTTATTTTGTTAAAAATTTTTAATGTTTTTTATTTATTTTTGAGAGTCAGAGAGAGACAGTGTGAGCAGGGGAGGGTCAGAGAGAGAGAGGGAGACACAGAATCCGAAGACAGGCTCCAGGCTCTGAGCTAGCTGTCAGCACAGAGCCCGATGTAGGGCTCGAACCCACTAATGGTGAGATCATGACCTGAGCCGAAGTTGGACGCTTAACTGACTGAGCCACCCAGGTGCCCCCCTTTTTTAAAATTTTAAAATTTTTATTTTTGAGAGAGAAACAGAGTGAGAGCATGGGAGGGACACACAGAGAGACACACACAGAATCCGAAGCAAGCTCCAGACTCTGAGCTGTCAGCATAGAGCCTGACAAAGGGCTCAAACCCATGAACCATGAGATCATGACCTGAGCTGACATCACACGCTCAATTGACTGAGTCACCCAGGCACCCCCCGATGTACTTAACTCTTAAAAAATTTTTTCCAGGTATTATTTTTGGTGTCTTGAGTACACAGTATGAAAGTATTTGTGAAATTGCATTTTTTTTAATATTTATTTTTAATATAAAATTTAGACTACAATGACAACTTGAAATGGAAAGCCTAAAATCTGTCCCCAAATTTTTAACTAAGTCTTTAGTATTCTTCCTAGATAATCAGTTTCTTAATAGGCCATTAGAGCAGGTTTCTATAATCATGTGTATGTACCAGCAGAAGGGAGAACTGAGATAACTTTGAAGATGAGTCCATCAATTCAAACATTTTCACTTGAAATATCAAGAGAAGTAGAAATTTTGGGGTGGTGTTGAGGGATGCAGTTGAATTGTTTGCAGGATTTGCCTGAATTTTTCACTTCATTTTCTGTAAAGTCACAGACTCCTAAAATATTTGGAATAGAGCATGAGATTTAACTTGTGAAGTGGGAAGAACTAACTGTACCACATGCTTTTAAATATTTTCTGATTCCTTTGGAGGCCATTTTGGCCCACACGACAGTGTCAGGAACTTGATGGGTCCCAGATATACAGTGACATCTGTGTCATGTGGACATTTGCATGCAGCAAGTGCAGAAGTTGACTTTAGGTGGTTTGGTCAATTAGTTATATTTTAAGTTAGATGTGAGAAGTATATTACAGTCTACTGTAAGGAATTATGAATTACTGCTTTAATAATTTTTATTCTTACCTTATTTAAGTTTAAACATCGAAACCATGGGAGATTGATACCTATAATTTGATTCCTTATGCATTTTGCTACTTTCATATCCTCTCTTCCTTGTTGCCCATTCTGTTTTCAGCATTTTTTGTATTTAAGGGTCCCGTCCATGTAAATATCACTTTCATCTTTTTTCTTAAAAGGTTAAATTTCAACATGTTATTTTTTATGGAAAGTCACTGACTTGTTGATAAAAATAAAACCTACTAAACTTAGAAGGCTTGGCCTTTGTGTTTTAATTTTTTTAAACTAAAGGATGAGACATAAAATGCAAACATTTATGCTCAATAAACAATACATATTCAACGTTATTCTTCACTTCCATATTTGTTAGATGATGAGAAAGGAAAGAGAGAATGGAATGTGTTAAAGATAAATTAAGGAGATCAGTGCATAAGGAGGAAAATGAATATATCCATTCAAATGAAGAGTGTTTCCATAGGAGTCAGAGGGAAATTTTGACAGGCTTCCACACTTGGGACATCAAAGCCACTCCTCTATAAAAGAGAATGCTTCACTCTGCAAGGTATGGCCTTATCAGTTAAGGGAGAGGAAGGAAGAGAAGAGTGGGGAGGATGGGGTATGTTAGTTTTTAGGCGTGACAGTAGAATTTTATTATCCCATGGGAAAGATGAAATCCAGGGGAGAAATACACACGGACAAAGTGTTCACATTACAGCCACACCCAAACATCATTTTTTTCCCCCAAAGAAACACCATGAATGAATGTAATATTTTGTACAGGGATCACTCAAGACTTCCTGGTTTCTGCAAGGTAGTCTTGAGAGTTAATGGGTTGAAAATACAGAGAGAAATACATTTTTTGTTTTTCCCCACATTTTCATATAGGTTATCAAAAACAGTGTATTTATAATAAAAAGAAATAATAAATGTTTTTGCTCTAGATTTATCTCTTTGGAGATCCTTATGATAACTGGATCAAGTCTGATTTTTAAAAGTTTTTGTGTTCCGGAGCCAATGTAACGTGGTTTGTGCGACCTGAGTGTTACATTTTCAGAAGTCTGCCATGCTGGTTATTAAACCATTGGTAGATGGAAGTTGGCCATGTGGGAGCATTTATACTATGGAGATTGGCAAATGCTGCAAATTGGGACCCATCCTCCAGAGAGGTGGTTGTTATTTCCCAGCCACCACTGTGTGTAGGCTCTATATCCTGCAATCACTAGGAATTATATTCAGGCACATATACACATTAAGATGATGCTAATTATTAAGCATTTTCAAAAATGAAGTATGACTTTCATGGTATATTTCAGGCAAATTCCTATTTATTCCAGTCTTCAGCACCACGGCTCTGTCAGCCATGAGATGAAGATCAGGAGTGAGAAGGAGGTACTCCTTTCCACCCTCCAACTAAACCAAAACAAACTGCAAGCCAACGAACTACTGACCACAATAAATGAATGTGATTTTGTCCCTTTGTCCATAAATACCTTTTTATGTGATGTCAGCTGTTTTCCTGTTATTTTCCTCAATTTAGCCAGTAGCAGACTATGCCCAAGGCTTTTGGATGCGGACATAGGGTAGATATGCTCAATTCAAGAAACATGCATTTTTTTCTCTTTACGTATATGTACCTCGTGGAATTCATATAAGACAGCGAAGTTATGGGCTGAGCAGCACATCAGCAAATGGCTCCACACCCCTCTTTAGCACACAGAGCCTAATTGTTACAGAACCCTGAATGGACACGTACGTGCCACACTTTCAAATCCCTACCTGCCTTCCCCACATACCCAAAGGGGAAGGGGAGAGAATCAAGTGCTGACTCTAGTGGAGACTGTCGGTTGGATAAAGCACCCAAGATGTAAAAGCCCCCTTTACATGGCTTTGGAGAAAAGTAGAGACTTTGGGCAGGGTGACATCTGAACAGCGTTCACCGGGACAGTCCTGGTCATTTCCTGCCATAGCAGCTGGCCGGTGGCACTTGTTTTAAGTGGCGTGTATGGCAAGAATGCTCTGGGAACAACAGTTGGAGAGTTTGCCCTTAACAAAATTTTGCTTAGAGGCTCGGAATTCAATTCTGCCTCTATGCTCTTGGGGCAAAACTGTAAAGGACAGATAGGTTTGTTAGGTGGCTTTTATTTCTTCAAAAACAGTTCAGATTAGTGATGATTCCAGTCCTGATCACTTAAGACACCTTAAGGAATTATTTTGGTTTCTCCAAGGACTTGAAACACTTGTACAGAACTATATGCTGAGGTGGCATTACAAACAAACAAACAAACAAACAAACCCATCTTCACTTTCATTAACCAGTATAGAATTTGAGGGTCAACTCACAGCTATTTAGACTGGGTCTTCCTTCTTGGCCACATTTTACATGACTGCCTTTTTACTTTTTTTTCCCTTAATCCTAGTCTTCCTATTCAGTTCATGAAATATACATTTTGTTGGGCAATAATTAGCCTTCATCAACTTGGCAGGTTGCTTTATCAGTCAATAATGAGAAGAACATAAAAGTTATGACCTGGGAGAAGAAGCATGTGTGACTCTATCAAAAAGTTCAGTGATTACTGATACTTAAGACTGGTGTGATTACAGTCCCTCTCTTTTTTATATTCAGACCTTTGACTATTAAGAGTTGATTTTTATTATTTCAGCCATCAGAACGATACAGCGCTGAATTCTTTCCAAATGGCTAATCTAATCTGAATATATTAGAAACCAATATTAATATATAAAGACTTGAGTTAAATAATCCTACACTCATAGCCTTCTTCTTACACTTGGGATTTTGACTCAGCAATTAATATTCTATTTATAAAATTTGGGTTGCTTCTGGAAAATATTAGAGAAACACAAAGTGAGGAAGTCTTTTTCGAATGTTAGGATAGTGTCATTTATAAATGACTATTTGGGCAGATATAGTAAAACATACTATGAACCTGTACTTAAAAAAAAAAAAGCAGCTAACTAAAGAAACAAAATCCTGTATCTGAAACAAAAGTACATAGGAGTTTGAATCTCTCTATGTATTTAACATTTTTCAATGTTTATTTTGTATTTTATTACATAAAAATAGCCGTTTATAGTTAGTTAATCCAGAAAATTCAGTCACACACAGTGTGTTGAATTCAAACAGTGGTCTAGGGGTTTGGCATTTCCATCAAGTAAAATCCTGGAAAATGTCAAGTCGAACATGAGGATATTGAAGCACATTGATGACTCTCTATTCTGAATTAGTTAGCATGATCAGATGAAATATTTAGTATATTTCATTTTGATTCTTTAGCTAGTCTTTATTTTTGCTTTGGGTAACATCTCTGTCCTGGGGACATTCATTACCACTCACTGGCAAGGTATCCTAAAAACAAACAAAAAAACCCATCCTTCAGTCCCATATTTAATTGTCAGACTATCAAAAATGAGCCTCCTGGAGACATTTCTATATTCTAACTACTACATTTGAATGACTCACTGGCATTTCATAGGTCCTCTTTCTTTTTTATGATCATTTGTCTAATCAGAGCTGCTATCTCAGGCCGGATGACTTCAATGGGTTCCTCTGGCCTCCAGGTCTTCACAACTTGACCCTCAGTGTTGACTAGATACTTCCAAAAATTCCATCTTGGTTCTTTCTTAGAAGAATCTAAAATACCAGAATATATTATCATAAGCATAATTTTATTTTTTGTCAAGATTTTCATTTCTATTAGTATCTATGTAAGTTAAAACTTTAGAATCAAGTTGTAAGATTGTCATAATGTCAAAAGCAAAACAAAATGAAAAAACAAAGCAAAACTCAAGCTCTGAGTAACCATATTTCTATATGTTTAATGACTTCACTGATCATTCTACTGATATGGAATCATGAAACAAAATAGTTTATTTCAGATTTATTGATCTAAACAACCAAAAATTGGGACACCCGGGTGTCTCAGTTGGTTTAGTGTCTGACTTCAGCTCAGGTCATGTATGATCTCACAGTTTGTGAGTTCAAGCCCCACATCAGACTGTGCTGAGAGCTCAGAGCCTGGAGCCTGCTTCAGATTCTGTCTCCCTCTCTCTACCCCTTCCTCACTTGTGTTTTCTCTCTCTCTCTCAAAAATAATAAACATTTAAAAAAATTTTTAAAAACCCGGGGTGCCTGGGTGGCTTAGTTGGTTAAGTGTCCGACTTTCGCTTAGGTTTATGAACTCGCGGTTCGTGGGTTCGAGCCCCGCGTCGGGCTCTGTGCTGACTGCCAGCTCAGAGCCTGGAGCCTATTTCAGAGTCTGTATCTCCCTCTCTCTCTGACCCTCCTCTGCTCATCCTGTCTCTCTCTCTCTCTCCCCTAGAAATAAATAAAAATATTTAAAAAAAATTTTTTTAACCCAAAAAACTTACCTTGTCACTAGCTCAAAACTTTCAGTTTCTTAACATTTTTAAAGATAAAATGATTTTTCTAATGGTCCTTAGTAATGGCATATATAGAATTCTTTTCATATTAAATATATCTATGGTTTTAATATTATTACATGTTATGATGAGGAAAATGGAAAGGGATTCTAAAACATTATTATTGTTTTTAAGTTTTTAATTCTAGTTAGTTAACATATAGTATTAGATCATATTGAGAAATTATGCAATCCTTTTGATACATCTTAATGTATGTAAGAAATGTAATGTTTTTTCAGTTTACATTTTCCGGAATTGATGTGCATTATTGACTAACATGAGAAAAAATATAAACTAGTTAAAATGTATCTAGTGTCTACTATATGCCCAGTAATGTATGCTCATTGCTTTAAATGGATCCTTTCATTGAATCTTTACAGCAACCCTGTGAGGTGGGTATTATCATTAACCCCATTTTGCAGATGAGGACAATGGAGTCTTAGACTCTAGGTTTTGTGGCTAATGAGCAGTAGAGCCAGGACTGATAACTAGACCTTCCTACTCCTGTACTTCCTACTCCAAACAGATCTTAGGAAGAAGATGACAAATTCATTTTTGTACAGGAGGGGATTCAGGTGTATGTGGAGCATCCTATCAGAGGAGAGCTTAGGAGAGAGAGCTCACTCAGGGAAAGGGGATAGAATAAGAAGAGCTCCAGTGGACTGTGGCAGAATCCTGAGAATTAGCACAGTTAAGGGTGGATGGAAAAGAGGAGCCTGAAGACAGAAGAAAGAGAAGGGGCCAGAGTAGCAGTCCCAGGTACCTGCTAAGTTCAAGAGATTCATGGAGCAAGAAGCCAGACACAGTCATCTAAGAAGGTAACTGAGACGGAGAAGCAGAGATAACAAGTGTTAAGTATTCTTTTAACAAGTGCTAAGTATTTAGAAATAGTGATCAAGTAGATAGATGGAACTCACTGTCTAGAGTTTTGAAAGTGTGGAATACTTTGCTTTGGGCTGGGAAAAAGAAGCAGTGACAGAGCATAGGTTAAAACTAAGAAATAAAAATAAAAAGTGGACTGATTACTTATATGTGTTTTACTTGGTGTACTGTGCCAAGCAGTTATTTCATTATTCGAGAAAAATATTTTTTTAAGGTTTTTTGTTTTGTTTTGTTTTTTTGTTTTTTTTTTTTTTAGGAGAGAGAGAGAGAGACAGCGTGAGCAGGGGAGGGTCAGAGAGAGAGGGAGTCACAGACTGAAACAGGCTCCAGGCTCTGAGCTGGCAGTCAGCACAGAGCCCGACGTGGGGCCCGAACCCACGAACCGCGAGATCATGACCTAAGCGAAAGTAGGACGCTTAACCGACTAAGCCACCCAGGCGCCCCTCGAGAAAAATATTTTTGACTAGAGCTACCATCAAGGACTCAGTATAAGTGAGCATCATATAATTACATGAAAGCCATCTTAAAATCATTTTGCAAAAGTGCCATTTTCTTTAATGGCAAATGTGTCTCTAAAGATAATGCCCACCAGGGCAGATCACTCTTTACCTCAAGTAAACATCTTTGTGTGAATTAGGAAAAGACACCCTTCCAGGCGGGTGCAGTCCCTCAGCACATGACTTGCTGTGACTGAGCTTCTGGTGGCATTGGCCTCCCCACCCAGATGCCCTGTTTACTGAAACCCGGACACATGCGCATTGTGACCACAGGATCAGTTACCGTCCACGTGGGCTAGTTTTAAAAACCTGATATTCATTTGGCTATGATCTCATAGTCTTTGTCTCTGGAGCTTCATCTAACTTCAGTGAAACCTTAAATCACTGTTACTTTTTTGATTGCACAGGGTAGATGGAGTTTTATGTTAATTTTCCCTAGAAATTAAATGTAGTGTTTAAAAATTTTTTAATGTTTATTTTCAAGACAGAGTAAGAGATACAGAGTGTGAGCAGGGGCGGGGCAGAAAGAGAGGGAGACAGAGAATCCGAAACAGGTTCCAGGTTCTGAGCTGTCAGCACAGAGCCTGACGCGTGGCTCAAACTCACAAAATTTGAGATCACGACCTGAGCCGAAGTCAGATGCCCAACCAACTGAGGCACCCAGGGGCCCCATTAATGTTTTAAAAAGATTCTGATTTCACACTTAAATTTTATAGAACATGATTAGCTGGCTTACTACACTGGAAGCTTGACTGCCTCATTGAAGTCATTGTTTGATCAAAACTCAAATTATCTACAGTGAAAATAAGGACTGAGGATATCATCTGCATAAGTTAGATGAGAGGACATTAGCTGAGTGTCCTTTATTTTTTATCTACTATTATTAAATTTTTTAAATCTTTCTTCATTTTGGAGAGAGGGAGAGAGACACGGGGAGAGAGGGAGACACAGAATCCAAAGCAGGCTCCAGGCTCTGAGGTGTCAGCACAGAGCCTGAGCTGAAGTTGGATGCTTAACCTAGTGAGCCACTCAGGTGTCCCTGAATGTCCTTCAGAATAGTGTTGGGCACAGTGTAAGAAGCATATAAATACTTTACTTCTACTATTAACACATTTAATCCTCCAAATAATCTTAGGAAGTGTGTACTATTGATAATCTTGTTTTACAAATGAGAAAGAAGGCACAGAGAAATTAAGTCATGTAGCTGAAGCCACACAGCAAAACTAACAGAGCAGGGACTTGAATCCAGGTAGGCTGTGGCTAAAACCTATGCCCTTGGTCACTATACCTCACTCCCTTTATGCTAAGCGACCCTGGAAAAATCTTTAAACAGATTTCTGTAGCTAGCCTAATTTTAGAGACAACATAACACTACTGTCCTCCAAAAAAAAAAAAAAAAAATTCTTGTATTCTCTTTTGAATTTTAGCAAAAACAGATATTACTCATTCTAGAAGATACTATCTCAGACAAGGCAACATAAAATGAATCACAGAAATATGTCTAATAATGCCCAGCGATATTCACGAGACATGGATAGCTTTAGTAATGGGGAGGGATATTTCCCCAAGTGCCAGTTAAGTAAGAGGAATTAAGGTATTTTGTGAAGATAGCCATGACCACATTTCAGGCAAATCCTTCAGGGAAGTGATCATAAGGAATAAAATACATTGGAATCGACTTATTTTGCCATTCAAGAAGTTAAAACATTGATTTCAGAGATTCAGGATGAGATCCTGGCTCTCTGATCGTTTTACCAAACTTTCCCACTTAAAACATTTCAAATGAAATGAACAGAAAAGTACTGTCCTGGTTGGTACATTTGTTTTAAAAGGGAAAAGCAATTGGAAACATTAAATTGGTGAGGCAAAGTAGATATTTACCAACAAGAAATCTGAATGCGGGTTCTGCTTCAGATCCTAGAATCTTAATCTTGTGGAAGATGGGGAACGTCACACCATAGTTATTTCTTGCAAAAGATACTACTTCCTTGCTCGGGCGGGGCTCTGAGTCTCCAAACTGATTGCACGGAAAAGCCAAGACGCTGAAGTGGAACGGTCCAAACTCTTTGTGCAGTTCTTGCAGTGCTAAGTAATTTCTGTCCGTGAGTTGGCAGTCACTAGCCACGTTTACAACTAGTGCAACCTCCCGGAAAAAGAAAAAAATCCAACCGGAAAGTGAAGCAAATAAAAAGATTAAATAAAAATCCTGCAAGAAGTTAAAATCCTAAACCATTTTGAAGCTGATGGTTATTTCATATTTTTAGACAGACCCAGTTTTGTTGAAAATCATAACCTGGATGCACGAGTTAAGACTCTGGAAGATCACTACCATTAAAAAAGCATCAGGAACAACGGTTTAAGATAACAGATAATACGATCATTGATAAGGGTGCTTTTTAATGTTGCTATTTTATGGAATTAGCATTTTTAATGTCTCCATGTTCACATTACTAATTATAAAAATTTCCTACACAACTTAAAATATTAATTCAGCATGCCTTTGAAAACAGGATAATTAGAGTTTATCCATTAGAAGTACTGTATGTATATGGGATGAGAATTCTGGTGGTCAGAGTGATAAACTAATTACATTACTTTACTAATTACATTACATTACTTTGAGAACTAAATTGTAACTTAGGACCCTTTAGCAATGAAAAATTGATTCCTTAAAATAAATGAACATGCAGTAGGAAAAAACAGAACAAAACCAGAAGATGCAACTTACTTTGCCTTTAAACTTTTCCAGAGAAACCGTTCTTCCTTGTGCATCTTTCACTTCAAAGGTATAAAAGCTGTTGATTTTAGGTTTTAGGAATTTTAGTTGCAGAAGAAATAGCATTACTGTGCATAGAGCCATAGACAGTAAAACTGCAAATACCTTTGCTTTCGGTCCCGAACATCTTAAAGGGTAAGCTGTAAGAGGCTCCATTTTGGATGATTCTAGAGGGAAGTCTCAGCAGGCTGGAATTCAAGGAGGAGCTGAAACTTGAAACCGGCTCAGTTTAACAGAAAACCAGGAAGGATGGATGAGCTCCTTTCACTGCTAAGGAATAGAACGACCCTTCTCCGATGGGGAGCGGAATGAGACTCCTGGATAAAACAGAGTGCTAAATAATTTCGATGTGTTTGTATGATGCCTATTACAATCTTCACTAGGAAAATCAGGACTGTTGTGAGAGCTCTTTAACATTCTCCTGACAAAATTTTTCACCAGAAGATGGTGCCCTTGTAGGGTGAAAGCTGGGGAGTGCTCCCAGTAACTGGGTGAATGTAGAGGAGTGAGTTAAATACCACCCAGGAATAGTTCAGAGTGTAGATTAAATGTGCTCTATTAACACGATGTATAGCCTGAAGGGGTTTAATATTATATGTATGTATGAAACTTGCTGCATGAGTCTACGATATTTACTGTGGAAAGGGCAGAGAAATAACCAAAGTGGCTACTTACTCAGACCTCATCTAATTAAGGCAATGCCACGTGAATATAATAAAAATAGGTAGATTAGGCACAACGAAGGCTTTAAAAAACCCTCCTCTATCATAAAGCCAACTATAGTGCAGTGTTTTTCAAATTTTTGGTCAAGACTCCCAGTAAGTAACGCTCTTTCTAATTTAACTCAGACACATGTAACTGAGCAGTTTAATTAGCCAATCCTTCCCTTTTGAACTTTGATATTTGATATGCCTACAGCGGTTTTATTTTTTCTTTAAAAAAATTTTTTTTAATGTTTTATTTATTTCTAGGAGAGAGAGACAGAGAGAGAGAGAGAGACAGCGTGAGCAGGGGAGGGGCAGAGAGAGAGGGAGACACAGACTCTGAAACAGGCTCCAGGATCTGAGCTGGCAGTCATCACAGAGCCCGATGTGGGGCTCGAACCCACAAACTGCGAGATCATGACCTAAGCGAAAGACGGACACTTAACCGACTAAGCCACCCAGGCGCCCCGCCTACAGCAGTTTTAAAACAGCCTGGTTCTGACCCATGACAGTGAAGGATTTCATGGTTCACAAGTGGTCAGCAACTCGTAGATGGAAAAATACTGAACTTTATAATAAATCAGGAATTTAACAATTAAATAAAACAATTCTACCAAGAAGGTAAAAACAAGCAAGGAAACGCTCCAAACCCACCTCTACTTGGGTGCATCATCTAGTTGCTTCTTTTTTTACCCTCACTTTTCCTGTGGCTGTTGCCTTTTACAGGTGGCTTAACTTTACTGTTGAAAATTACAGGGGTAGGTGTGGACAGGAAATGGAGGTAGCTGCATATTTATCCTGAAGTCCATGGTTCCTTTAGTCGCCTTGGACCCTTCCCCAACACACACAGCAAATTTCAAATTAAGGTGCCTCATTCTACTTGGGCCTGACTCTTGGTGTTGCTCAGGAGGCTGGTAGCTCTCTGCCTCTGAGCCCTGCTTCTGTGGTGTGTGTTCTTGGGGTCAGTGGAGCCGAAGCCACAGCTATGCACGTAAAACCTGTCAGAGATTGATAAACCACTTTGCTCCCACTCTCGCGGGCTGATAAGAAAGGATACAGTAGAAAAGTATTCCCTTGTAAATCTAATTCTCAATAAAGAACAAAAAAGCACAGAAAACACGTTGTATCACCTCTTCACTATGGTAATTTTACTTTGGTGCTCTCTGGCTGAGTTACTGAGAAAGTCAAAGTTCTTCTGACACCCACACTTCAATTCTCTGACTTTGCTACTCAAGGTCCTTTGGCTTAAAAGCACTGCCATCACCTGGTGCTTGTTAGAGACACAGCTGTTTATACCCCACCTCAGACTTCCTGAACCAGAAAGGGCCTCCTGACTCAAGCGTACATTTAAGTTTGAAAAAATTTAGACTTCAATCTTTTTTTGTTTTGTTTCGTTTTCAGAATAAGTTTCTTTGGTTTCTGTTTGTCTTTCATAGCAGACGTGTTTCATGTCTGGATGTCTGCACTAGGTATTTTGACTAGCTCTTCAGGTTGTTGAAGGAAATGGCTCAGGAACTTGAGTTTTAATGGTTAATTTAAAAAAAAAAACCTTAATTCATAGAACACCTGCTGTAATTTGAACCATATAAACCATCCCATGATAACTGTGCTTTAAGGGAGATGACAGAGGGTTACCTCGGAGGAGGATGCTAACTGACTATACCCCAGGCAGGGCCCCATAGGGTGACATTACTTTGATAAAACCATTATGATAATTTCTAGTTCACTGTTCTGTAAGTACAGAAACTCCCATCAAGTGATCTAGAGCTTGGTCTTTGAGAGGTTCCTTTCTATTTATTTATTTTGGCCTTGTTGCTCTGAATTCCTCCTGATTTAAGGTCAATACTATGCGAACTCTAAAAGGTAAACAAGCCAAACTGATGTGCTTAAAGTATCCAGTCATTCATTCTTTTCCCCTTTGTTATTTTTCTTATCATCCTCTTTCTCTTTTTGAATACACAGTTAAATCATTTAAAACTATGTAACAGACATTCCCCCAGCAAGAGATAGGTCCTGGAATAGAAGTTTAAAAACCCCAAAGATGAAATACCACATTCTACCGCAGTGTTCCCTAAGCTGCAGTCATTTGCGTACATGTCTGTGATTTTGCCATCTATACCATTTGTGAACATTTTCGGTTCAAACTGACTCATTTATATTACTGAAATACATTTTTATATAAGGGAAGAATTTATGTCAACATTGAACATTTTAAAACACTTAAAAATGCACACTAAAACACACGACTTTTTAAAAAATGTTCATCTGTACTGCTATGAACCATATGTCCTTGGAGGAGGAACTGACCAAGAACTGTACTTTGTATTCAAAATGTGATAGGAAATTATGCTCTAATTCTTTGAAAGTTCTTTGTGCTGAAAAAAATTTGCCTCCTCCCATTCATTATTCCCAGTTTTGTCATAGGGACCAAAACAAAGTAAATTTTTCTTTGTTTCATAAATTGTCTTCTGTTTCATATTTAAAGACGGTTCCTTATGGGTCTTCTTTCCTGTAGACTAAACACTCCAGATGCCCTCACTCCATTCACGTGTTGCTCTATTGCTGTGTTCCCTGACCTTGTACCACTGCAGTCCTTTCCTCTTAAATGAACTCAGGTTTGGAATCCTGGCTTGTTCATCTCCTTCTTACAAGACAGGTCCAAGATTGGACACAGTTCTCCAGCATGGGTCCTGGCCACTGCAGAGACAACTGAGTTTTCCTTGTTCTTGTTTTAGACACTGTTTTTCCCTTATTAGGAACCAAAATTAGGGCGCCTGGGTGGCTCAGTCAGTTAAATGTCCGACTTCGGCCCAGGTCATGACCTCACGGTTCGTGGGTTCAAGCCCCGCATTGGGCTCCGTGCTGACAGCTACCTCAGAGTCTGGAGCCTGCTTCAGATTCTCTGTCTCCCTCTCTCTGACCCTCCCCTGCTCACACTGTCTGTCTGTCTCTCTTTCTCAGAAATAAATAAAACACTTAAAAAATTTTTAAAAAAGCACTTAGTTTAAAAAAAAAGAACCAAAATTGTATTGCTTTAAAAAAAGTCATCGCTATTGATTCACATTCTGGTGGTGACTGTCTAAAACTGCCAGCCGTTTTCACTGCATATCAGCTCTCTCTCATTTGCAATGGTAAACCATCATTATTGCATTAGGATTCTCTAGAAAAGCAGAATCAATAGAATATACATAAATATATATACATGAGGCTCACCAGATTATAGAGGCCGAAAAGTTCCACAATCTGCCATTTCTAAGCTGGAGAACCAGGAAAAGCCAGTGGAATAATTCAACTTGAGCCCCAAATCCTGAGAACTGGGGAGCAGCTGGTGTAAGTTAAGAGTACAAAGCAAGCTCTGAGAACCAGGAGCTCCATTGTCTGATGGCAGGAAAGAAATGGACATCTTAGTTTAAGAAGCGAAAAAATGTGCCCTTCCTTTACCTTTTGGTGCCATTTGGGCCCCCAGTGGATTGGATGATGTCCACCCACAATAGTGAGGCTGGATCTCTTTACTGAGTCTACCAAATCAAATGCTAATCTTCTCTAGAAACACCCTCCCAGCCATATCCAGAAAAAATGTTTTACCAGATCTCAGGGCATCCCTTAGTCCATCAAGCCAATGCATAAAATTAACTATTATGATTATTTAACCTACCAGAGGCAGCCTAACCGAGTTTGGAATGGGGAGGAGGGTAGTGTCAGAGACACCTTCCTGACGTGATGGCTGATTCCAGTGATTCCAGTTGTGAAGGAGGGCTAGAAGTAACCCTGGCAGAGAATTGTGGAAGAGTATCAAGGGCGTGACAGATGAGCCAAGACAGTGTAAGATGGTCAACGAGAAATTTCTTGATCATTTTTCTTAGCTGATATGTCATTTGTGAATAAATAATTATATTTTATATAATATATGTATATATACACACATAAATATATCTTCCACAATTTGCTTATTCATTTTGCTTATTCTTTTTTTTTTTTTTTTTTTTGCTGATGGACATTTGGGTTAGTTTTACCTTCCAACTATTGTGAATAGTGCTACCATGAACACTCATGTACCTGAGTTTGAGTTTGAGTAACTGCTTCATTTCTCTTGGGTCTATACCTAGCAGTGAAATTATTGAATCATACAGTAATTCTAAGTTTAATTTTCTGAGGAATTGCCAACTGTCATCCACAATAGTACCACTTTACATCCTCATAAGCAATGTGCAAAAGTTCTAATCTCTCCACATTCTTGCTAACATTTACTATCTATCTATCTATCTATCTATCTATCTATCTATCACCATCCTAGATCATGCAAAGTGGTACATCATTGTGGTTTGGATATACATTTCCTTAATGTATGTCCTAACTTCTAATGGCTGTAGAATATTCCCTTTTAAGGATGCCACAAGATCTACCTAGTCAATCCTCCACTGGTAAACATTGAATCCTTCCCATCTTTATGCCCGGTAAACATATACAATAAGAGCCCCATGTTCTTAGCTGAGAGCATGGACTGTGGGGTCAGACAGGTGAGATTAGGGTATAGCATCTCCAATTACTCACTGTGTGGTCTTAGCAATTCACTTAACCTCAAAACCTCAGTTTTTTCTTTGACAGAGTGGGGATAAATAACAGACTGCTTCACAGGGTCTTTCTGAGGATTAAATATGAATGCGTATAAACCTTTAACATATGGGTTCATATTGTGGTAAGCATGCAGTAGATGCTAAGTGGTTTTATTCATCTTTGCTCACATCTTTTGATTTTTTCCTTAAATTCTTAGAGGGGACAATGGTGAGTCGGTAGACGTTATGCACACGTTTGAAGGCTTTTGACATGCATTCTTTCTAAATGCTAATTTATACTCCACCAGCAATATATGCCAGTGTTTGTTTCTAGAACCTTCAACCTTGGGGATTGTAATAAAAAAATATCATTGCTAGCATCTTGTTATTGTTTTAAGTTAGGATTACTTTGATTACTAGCAAGGTTGAATATTTTTGGAGCATTTAATTATTTCTTTTGTGCATTGTCTTTTTAGGTCCTATGCCCTATTTTTTTCTAATTGGATTGTTAATTTGTCTAAATTTCTCTAAGAGTCCTTTATACAAGGGTAATAACCTATCATGACTGACATTTTATTAAAAATATAATGTATTTCCAGTTTGTCATTTGCAGTTTAATTTCACACATAGACACATGGCATGGTTTGCCACGATAAGATCTGTACATACCAAACTCCTGAGGTTTCTGAGAGGGAATGAGATGAATGTTGAGCAGTGTAGGCCTCAAATCTCTCATCTCTGAAATGAAAAGGTTGGACTAGAAAACTACTGTTTATAGCCAACTGGATCCAACAATACGTTAAAAGAATTATTCACCACGATCAAGTGGGATTTATACCTGGAATGCAGGGCTGGTTCAATTCTGGACTTCATGATGTATTACAAAGGTGTAATCATCAAGACAGTGTGGTACTGGCACAAAAACAGATACTTAGATCAATGGAACAGAACAGAGAACCCAGAAATGGATGCACAAGCATATGGCCAACTAATCTTTGACAAAGTAAGAAAGACTATCCAGTGGAATAAAGACAGTTTCTTCAGCAAGTGGTGCTGGGAAAACTGGACAGTGACATGCAGAGAAATGAACCTGGACCACTTTCTTACTCCATACACAAAAATAGACTCAAAGTGGATGTAAGACCTAAATATAAGACAGGAAGCCATCAAAATCCTAGAGGAGAAAGCAGGCAACAACCTTTGACCTTGGCTGCAGGAACTTACTCAAAACATCTCCAAAGGCAAGGGAAACAAAAGCAAAAATGAACTATTAGGACCTCATCATCTGCATGGCAAAGAAACAATCAGCAAAACTAAAAGGCGACTAATGGAATGGGAGAAGATATTTGCAAATGGCATATCAGATAAAGAGTTAGTATCCAAAATGGGTAAAGAACTTGTCAAACTCAATGCCTAAAAAACAAATAATCTAATGAAGAAATGGGCAAAAGACATGAATAGACACATCTTCAAAGAAGACATCTGGATGGCAAACAGACGCATGAAAAAATGCTCAACATCTCTCATCATCAGGGAAATATAAATCAAAACCGCAATGAGATACTACCTCACACCAGTCAGAAAGGCTAAAATTAACAACTCAGGCAAGGACAGATGTTGAGGAGAATGCAGAAAAAGAGGAACCTTTTGCACTGCTGGTGGAAATGCAAGCTGGTGCAGCCACTCTGGAAAACAGTATGGAAGTTCTTCAAAACATTAAAAATAGAACTACCCTGCGACCCAGCAGTTGCACTACTAGGTATTTATCCAAAGGATACAGGTGTGCTCTTTTGAAGGGGCATATGCAGTCCAATGTTTATAGTAGCACTATTGACAATAGTGGGTAGAGGGATGGGTTAAATTGACAAGGGGCATTAAGGAAGACAGTTGTTGGAATGAGCACTGGGTGTTATACGTAGGGGATGAATCACTGGATTCTATTCCTGAAAGCATTATAGCACCATATGCTAATTAGGATGTAAATAAAAAAACAAAAAAAGAAAAAGAGAAAAAGGAAAAGTGCTGTTTATTTCCAGATTTGCAATTTTTTGATTTTATATGAACATTTTATATGTTCAATGTAAAGGGTTATTTCAACTTCATATTTTATATTGATGTCTAATTGTAGTAACTGTAACCATAATTACTCCCTAAGCTTCTTTTATATATCTTGAGAACCTTGAACAGAGGCTCTAAGTATACACACACAAAAATACATATTTATGTATGTATAAAATAACACACACGGTATATAATTTGTGTTGTACTAAATGAGTTAACATGTATCCTTTAAGGAATATTTAATTTTGCATCACTGAGGCCACTAGAAATTACAGCTTTTTTTTTTCTTGTTAAATAGATATTTGATGCAGTTAAAACTACATATTCTAACTTTAAGAGCAACTTTGTGAAGAGGCTGTCGGCGGAGGTGCCCATTGCCAGTAGCCCAATTACCACCAGGTGGCGGCAAAGCCAAACCAGAGATCTGGCAGGTGATTCCTTTGAGGAAGAGCATTCAACCACTTACCTCCCAGAAGCTTCTGGATCTGTGCTGAAGATAATGCCTGAAAAAGAGACCTTGATTCTAGGTGAGGTAATAGAAATTCCACAGGCCATTTAAAAAATGTCAGTGAAATAGAATTCCTCAAAGAATCTTTGTAGCATGGAACTATCTAGTATCACATTTAATCAACTGCTTTCCTTCTCTTCCTTTGAATAAGAAATTTCCAAGGTGGTGGGAAAGGGGGCAGGAAATGAAACAAACAAACAAAAAAAGACAGTGTGTTGTATTTTAGATGCAATTCTGAGATTTACGTTGGTTTATTATTTCTCTTGTAAAGATTATATATGTAAGATTTTTCAGTGGTCCCTTGGCTCCTCTGTTGAACAAGTGATATGAACACAGAAGATACTTAGTTTTACAGGATGACTTGACAAGTTTTTCCATGTAGTTAAAAATCTGGTAAAGGGCTTTTCCAGTCTTGAGAAGAGAACAGATATGACAGATATAACATTGACTCTGCTATTTACTTTCACTTAGCAAGTATTTCACTCATGTCATCTCAAATTACCCTTACAGCATCTTTCTGTAACAGAGAGATGGAGAGGCAAAGTGACTTACTCATGATCATAGAGCAGATGCCAATGACTGGGAAAGCAAGCATCCCATAGTGATGTCCTGGAAGATGATCATAGCTTGGGCAAACCAGATACCTTTGCTCCATCACTTTAACCTATGGAACTGTTTGCATCTATTTTCAGGTGTGCGAGTATGTTCTTTCCATGCAGAGATAAAGCATTTTTGCTGCTGCTGCAGTTGGAATCAGGTCTTTAATCTTGGCATTTCCTACAGAGACCACTGAGGCAGTGCTCACTTATGACCCTGGCATTCTGGATAAGGCCCTGTGCCGATCCTCCCTCTTTAACCCCCCTCTCCCAGAATTTTAGAGAGATCTGGGCCTGTTGTGAAAGACACCATGAGTTGATTTCCAACCAAAGTGATTATCTTGTTTTGAAAAACAAATTAAAAACTAAATGTTTTTCTTGCAGGATCTTACAAAGAACCACTGAAGACCCCCATCAAAGGGAATTTTGAAGCAAATAACTCTGCTCTCCATTTTTGCAAGGCACCTCATGCACTGGACAGAGGTTGGAATGAAAACGTTGCCTCGAAAGGCCAGGTAGGTAAAGAGAAAAAATTGAAGCTCTCATATTCTGACAAGCTCAGACAAATGAGTTCCAAATGTGAAGAAAGACCTGGCTTAGTTACTCTTACAAGTCAGTAAGAAAATGATGGTTTTCTGATAGAAAAAATGAGAGAGTGAAGGATATCAACAGGGGCACTTTGTAAAGAAATATAATACCTGATAAATATACAAGTTTTGTTGGTCTCAATCAAAAAAGTGAAAATGAGACATCAAAGAGGAAAAGATTAAGATGATGGGATACTATATACAGAAAACACTGAAGAGTCTACCAAAAAAACCACTAGAACTGATACATGAATTAAATAATGATATAGGATATAAAATAGGTATACAGAAATTGGATGCAATTCTATACATTAATAATGAAGAAGCAGAAAGAGAAATTAAGAAAACAATCCCATTTACAATTGCACCAAAACAGCAAGATAGATACCTAGGAATAAACTTAACAAAAGAGGTGAAAGGTCTATATTCTGAAAACTATAAAACACCAATGAAAGAAATTGAAGAGGACACAAATAAAATGATATGCCATGCTCATGGATTGGAAGAAGAAATATTGTTAAAATGCCTATACTACACGAAGCAATCTCCAGTTTTAATGCAATCCCTTTCAAAAGATCAACAGCATTTCTCACAGAACTAGAACAAACAATCCTAAAATTCGTGTGGAACCACAAAAGACCCTGAATAGCCAGGGCAAAAATGAAAAAGAATAAAACTGGAGGTATCACAATCCCAGATATCAAGATATACTACAAAGCTGTAAAAATCAAAACAGTAAGGTACTGGCACAGTATAGACAAACAGATCAGTAAGACAGACCAGAGTCCAGAAATAAACTCACAATTATATGGTAAGTTAATTTCCAACAAAGGAGGCAAAAACATGAAATGGGAAAAAGAAAATCCCTTCAACAAATGGTGTTGGGAAAACTGGACAGCTACATGCAAAAGACTGAAACTGGACCACTTTCTTATACCATACACAAAAATACACTCAAAATGAATTAAAGACCTAAATTTGGTTCCTAAAGGTATACAATTCCTAGAAGGAAACATAGACAGCAATCTCTTTGACATCAGCTGAAGAAATGTTTTTTTAGATATGTCTCCTCTGGCAAGGGAAACAAAAGCAAAATTAAGTTACTGGGACTACACCAAAATAAAAAGCTTTTGCACAGTGAGGGAAACCATCAAAAAAAATCAAAAGGCAACCTATCAAATGGGAGAAGATATTTGCAAAAGGTACATCTGATAAGGGATTAGAATCCAAAAAATATAAAGAACTTCTATGATTCAACAGCAGAAAATCAAATAATCCAATTACATGAGAAGACATGAATGGGTATTTTTCCAGAGAAGTCCTACAGATGGCCAAAAGACATATGAAAGCATACTCAACATTACCCATCATCAGGAAACACAAATTAAAACGACAATGAGATATCACTTCACACCTGTCAGAATGGCTAAAATCAAGACAAGAAATAACAAGTCTTGGTGAGGATGTGGAGAAAAGGGACCCTCGTTTCCTGTTTGTGGGAATGCAAACAGGTTCAGGCACGTGGAAAACAGCAAAGACATTCTTCAAATAATTAAAAATAGGGGTGCCTGGATGGGTTATCTGGTTAAGTGTTGGGCTCTTGCTTTCGGGTCAGCTCATGATCTCACGGTTTCTGAGTTTGAGCCCCATGTAGGGCTCTGTGCTGACAGTGCAGAGTCTGCTGGGGTTTCTCTCTCTCCCTCTCTCTCTGCCCCTCTGATGCTCATGCTCTCTCTCTAAAAATAATTTAAAAAATAGAATTACCATAGGATCCAGTAATTCTACTACTGAGTATTTACCCAAAGAAAACAAAAACTCTAAGTCAAAAGTATATATGCACAACTATGTTTATGGGAGCATTATTTACAATAGCCAAGATATGGAAGAACCCAAGGATTCATCAATAGATGAATGGATAAAGAAGACGTGGTATGTATATGTACATATAAAGAAACAAACAAATAAAATATATATACATATACATACAATGGAATATTGCTCAGCCATAAAAACGAATGACATTTTGGGGCACCTGGGTCACTCAATTGGTTAAGCCTCCGACCCTTGATCTCAGCTCAGTTCATGATCTCACTGTTCATGAGTCTGAGGCTCATGTTGGGCCCTGCACTGACAGGTAGAGTCTGCTTGGGATACTGTCTCTCCTTCTCTCTGCCGTTCTTCCATTCTCTTGTGCTCTCTTTCTCAAAATAAGTAACCTTAAAAAAAAGTCATTTCACCTTTTGAAACGAGATGCAGCCCAAGAGTATAATGCTGAGTGAAATAAGTCAAGGAAAGTGAAATACCGTATGATTTCAGTCATATGTGGAATTTAAGAAACAAACAAAAGAACAAAGAAAAAAAGTGACAAACAAAGAAACAGACTCTTAACTATAAAGAACAAACTGATGGTTACAGTGTTTGGGATATATATCTTGCTAGAGGAACAATATCTTGAATGTAAAATTTAATTATTTGACATCATATGCAAATTGAAAACAAATATCTTAGAGCAGGTCTTTTCTTGAGTGCTAATACTGTTGGTTAAGGGTTTGGAAGTGCAGACGGTTAGAGAGTTCTAAGTCACTGGGGAAATGTTGACTTTGTGTCCAGGTCAGGTTATTAGCACCGTTGCCCTTCCACACTCCACTTCTTGCCTTGATCTTCAGAACTTCCTTTTACTCTCTCCCTTAGGCTCTATAGTAACTGGTGGGAGTAAGTAGGTGGCTCTGTGTGATCACAATGATGTTGGCAAATTACCGTTATTACAGCAATTGTAATCCAATCAGAACATGTCTCAGCATCACTGGAAAACCGGAGAAGGGGAGAATGGAAACTGTTTGACTATTTTATGTAAAGCATTTGTTGTCATGACTAGTTAGAAATCAAACAGCATTAGTAGTGTCAATACAGTGAGGTCCTTCACAGTGACAGTAAATGTGTGTCATCACGTGGTCCTCAGAGGTCATGTGAGGTGTGTTTCTACAACAAGGGCCTGCATAGCTAGAGAGATGTTCATAATTATGATATATAGTCAGCTTTATGCCAAATTGTTCATTAAATTAATAAATAGATATTACCTAGGGTAGAGCACCCTTGGGTACATCAAATAGAAGATTACGTGCCGGGCAATGTCTTGGGCAGCTTTGTGCTGACTATAGATTCTGAAGAAGTCAATCTCTGAGGAGTTACATCAATTTTAGGAATGTTATTTGTTATTAGCAGTTCTCAACTGGGGGTGATTTTGCTCCCTAGGGGACATTTGACAATGTCTGAAGGCATTTTTGATTACTGCAACCTAGCAAGAGGGCGTCTAGTAGATAGAGAATGGGATACTGCTAAACGTCGTATAATGGACAGAACAGCCCCCACAATAATAAATTATCTACCACCAAATGCCAGTGGTGCTGAAAATGGGAAACCCTGCTTTGGACTGAATTGTTCTAATTTGACTACCTAAAAATCCATGATTCGTTGACTGGCAATGCCTATTATGTGACATGATATCTGCAAAGAAAACCAAAATCTCAAAATGATGCTTGTGAGAGAGATTTCTGTGTGAATTATGGTGATCCTGTGATTGCTTTACATCTAAGATGAAATATATTATCATGAAGGAGAAGAAAAGGAATCATCTCTGCTTTACCTGTTCACTAAAATGTTTTTAGAAAATTCCTGCAAGTACTTTTCTTTATACTTCTAGTAATTTTCTTATCTGTTTCTGATTGAAGTTGGAGGTAAGAATGTCAGAAGTGCTTTTTATAAGGGTTAATATCCAGAATCTATAAGGAACTCACCAAACTACACCCCCGAAAAACAAACAACCCAGTGAAGAAATGGGCAGAAGATATGAACAGACACTTCTCCAAAGAGGACATCCAGATGGCCAACAGACACATGAAAGGATGCTCAACATCCCTCCTCATCAGGGAAATACAAATCAAAACCACACTGAGATACCACCTCACCCCAGTCAGAGTGGCTAAAATGAGCAAATCAGAGAACTCTAGATGCTGGCGAGGTTGTGGAGACACGGGCACCCTCCTACACTGTTGGTGGGAATGTAAACTGGTACAGCCCCTCTGGAAAACAGTGTGGAGGTTCCTCAGGAAACTAACAATAGAACTCCCCTAGGACCCAGCAATAGCACTGCTAGGAATTTACCCAAGGGATACAGAAATGCTGAGGCATAGGAGCACATGTACCCCAATGTTCATAGCAGCACTCTCCACAATAGCTAAAACATGGAAAGANACCATGGAATACTCCATGGCAATGAGAAAGAATGAAATCTGGCCATGTGTCGCAACATGGATGGACCTTGAGGGTGTTATGCTGAGCGAAATAAGTCAGGCAGAGAAGGACAAATACCATATGTGTGCACGTATAGGAGGATTAGGAGGAACTTGACGGAGGAACAAGGGGGAGAAGAAAGGGGGAAATGGTGGGGGAGAGGGAGAGAGGCAAACCATGAGAGACTCTTGAATGCTGACAAAAACTGAGGACTGATGGATGTGGGGGGGATGGGCATGGAGGAGGACACTTGTGGGGATGAGCACTGAGTGTTATGTGTGTCAAACTAATTTGACAATAAACTATTTGTAAAAAAAAAAAAAAAAAAAAAAGAAGTGCTTTTTATATACTGGCCCAAAGAAACAGCAATCAGATTTCATGGAAACTGAGCCAAGTTACTTAAGATCTCAGTGATTTGGTATTCCCATTTCTAATAGGTAAAGGTGTTAATGGAAAAAGACCTTTATGCTGATTAGTTCAATCCCAACATATCACAGATAAAGAAAATTAAGACTCCAAGAAATTCTCAGTTACAGACTGAAAGAACACCTCCAGGTTGAATACTGAGAGGCATCTTTTGATAGAAATCTTCCTTGAAAAAGTAGCCTTAACATACATTCAACTTTATTATCTTGGGGAGGTCTTTCAGTTTCACAACGTACTAGAAATATCATGACATTTCAGTTCTTGCAGGCTTTGAAGATCTCACTGGCCTTTAGTTGGTTTGTGGGCTGAAAACATTTTTAGGCTAGAAGAATAAAGAAGATTTTATTCTATCTGAGTAATACCTGCCCTATGGAGTTGTTGGGGAGATTAGAAATAATACATGTAAAATGCTCAGCACTGTATTAACTACACAGTGGTTAGGTAGTAAATGAAGCAATTGTAGTGTTGGTTTTGATAATGTGGAAACTTTGAACTTCCTGGTGAATTATTGGCTTAACACGATGTCACACATAACAGCTGAGATGTACATATATGTTTCTAAAGAAGTATTCATTTGTTTGTTTTCAGAAATGCCTAAACCAACTATTTTCGACCCAGAAGGTGTCTCAGTGGGTTAGTGGGAAAATGCAGCTATGTGAGCAATCCCAGTGTGTTTGGAAAGGTATGGGGCAAGATTTTGTTTGTCCTTCTTTCCTACCCTTCTCTCTCCCTGCCTTCTTCATTTCTTTTTTTTATACTAATCAACATAATTATAAAATTTAGGCAATTCTCTCTCCCTGCCTTCATCATTTCTTCCTTATTCTTCTTTATCCTTCATTAGTGGATGGACATTTGGGCTGTCTTCATGGTTTGGGTCTTGTTGATAATGTTTACAACTATTTTCTAAGTAATATTTGTTAACTGCTGTCTCTTCAGATTTTAGACTTTATCATAACTTTCTAGCATAGTAGATAATAACTTAGTTCTCCTGCCTCATTTACCTCCCTCAATCTACTTATATCCCATTTCTGAAAAGTAAACAACTCCTCACACAGTTGAAAATCTGCATATAACTTTTGACTCCCCCCAAGCTTAATTGCTAATAGCCTATGGTTGACTGGAGGCCTTAATAATATAGACAGGTGATTAACACATCTTTTGTATGTCATATGTATTATATACTGTATTCTTATAATAAAAGTATGCTAGAGAAAATAAAATGTTATTAGGAAAGTTATAAGGAAAAGAAAATACATTTATAGTACAGTGTGTATTTATAAAAAACAATCCGCATATAAGTGGACCATGGCAGTTCAAACCCATGTTGTTTAAGGGCCAAGTGTATTCATTTTAAAATCTAAACTCTTAGTAACTTTCAAATATGTAATCCAGTATTATTAACTGTTATTGCCATGCTCTACATTACATCCCTATGACTTACTTATTTTGTAACTGGGAGGTTTGTACCTGGTTTTTAAAAAACCTTTATTGGCAGTGCCTGAGTGTTTCTAGTAAGCTTGCAGTTTTGCCTACAACTTCAGGTCTTCATGGCTAACACCAAGGCTGGAAGTATTAATCTACTTCTCGATATAGCATTATGAAGCTCTTGCACTTTTATCCGAAGGCATGTGGTCTTAGAAACCACCAATTACCTGGGTGGGCTCAACATCTATGTCATTCTTAGTTTGATCACAAGCCAAGCGGTTGTACAGATGAAAAGACAGTGGCCTGTGGTTTAGACTTAGTTGGGTCTTTTGATGAGAATTTCAACTGAGCCCAAGATATGACCCTGACCTCAGATATTCATGGGTAAAAATAGCCAAAAATAAGTCTGCATGCTCTGGTACAAAACCTGTGAGACAAAGAGTTGAAATAAATGAGCCAACAAATGTTTATGGACAAAGACTCAGAAGAGTGGTTGTATCTATCAGGTAACTGTTGATGTGATTGACAAGTGGATATGCAAAAATTACTTTGATTTAAAATTTTTAAAAATGTTTATTTATTTTTGAGAGACAGAGAGAGACAGAGCATGAGTGGAGGAAGAGGAGAGAGAGAGGGAGAGACAACTTGAAGCAGGTTCCAGGCTCCGAGCTGGGCTTGAATCCACAAACTGCGATATCATGACCTGAGCCAAACTGACACTTAACCAAGCCACTCAGGTGCCCCCAAATTACTTTGATTTTAAAATCTCAAGTGATAGAATAAATATTCAAAGTATGATATAATGTTTCTGTGTGCTTCCCACAAGATCTGTTGTTACATTGCGGTCTGTCACTCATGTGCTTTTTATTTTAAAATGCCGTGAAATATTTAGAAAAATTTTTGTTTCAATGAATACTGAAGTCTTCCTTTCTCCTTTCCTTCTCCTGCAACTTGTAATTCAGTTTTATCATGACGACGACTTTCCTTATCACTGTTCTCTCTTAATCCCTGCAAGGGTAAGTATTATCTTCCCGGGATCATAAAGACGTGCAGAGGTGTTTGTTTCTTGTAGGCTGCAGAGATGAAGTCAGAGATGAATCCTTCCATCTCAGAAGATTCAATGGTATAAACTATTCCATACTCCAGCCAGAGGTGAAATTTCATCTAACTGGTCTTCGAAATGACTATTGTAAGTTATTGTTTAACTAAAAAGTTGATGTGACAAATTGTATCCATCGCGGTGGCACAAACTTGAAATTTGATCCTGGAAGAGCCTGATGGTCCTTGGGTCTCATGTCCCAAAGCTGAACCATCCAAACATGTTAATACAGTTTGCCTTCTCCTGGGCAATTTTCATGTTTGCAATGGGTACTGTTGGTGTCGGGAAGGGAGCATGAGAAATATATATTTTACTGTATTAGAATGAGCTGAGAAAATAGTGGCCTATTCTTATGCATATATTTTAAACATAGATAAATGCAATGAGTCAAACAGCCACAGGGGGTCTTCTCATCGTGTGCCTACCTTATAATCTAGCTGAGAAGACAGGACTAGCTCACATGGAACTTCTACCGACCTGCCAGTGCAGAATATACATAAGGAATTGTGGGATGAAGGGAGCTATAAGGACTCTAAGTAGTCAGTGATCTTTGGATCTTTGTCTAGAAAGACTGTGGAGATAATCAGACTCAAGCTGGGTCTTGAAAAATGGGTAGGACTTGGAGGGGTGGAGAAAATAAGTTTTTTATGTTTACTTATTTTTGAGAGAGAGAGAGACAGCATGACAGGGAAGGGAGCAGAGAGAGAGAGGGAGACACAGAATCTGAAACAGGCTCCAGGCTCTGAGCTGTCAGCACAGAGCCTGATGTGGGGCTTGAGGCCACAAACCATGAGATCATGACCTGAGCCGAAGTTGGAAGTTTAACTGACTTAGCCACCCAGGCGTCCCTTGTTAGGATACATTTTCGAATGTGGTCATACAAATATGGTTTCTTTTGGCAGTTAAAGAGTTCTTATAGAATAAGGGGGAGAGTACTGCTAGGAACTTTCAAGTATCATGTATAAGCCAGTGACCATTTCTTCTAGATACACGTAGTTGGGTGGTATTTTGGTTAGAAATGATAGTGGCATCTATTGCATAGATATCGTACATTCAAGGATGTCTCCATAAGAGTTATGTGCTTTCTCCTTATGTTTATTGCAATATTATTTACAATAACCAAATTGTGGAAGCAGCCCAAGCATCCATCAATAGATGAATGGATAAAAAAGATGCGAGATATATATCTCTATATATCTCTACGTGATGAAATATTATTTACCCATAAAAAGGAATGATATCTTGCCATTTACAATAGCATGGATGGATATAATGCTAAGTGAAATAAGTCAGTCAGAGAAAGACAAACACCATATGATTTCACTCATGTGTGGAATTTAAGAAAACAAGGGGCGCCTGGGTGGCTCAGTTGGTCAAGCATCTGACTTCAGCTCAGGTCATGACCTCACAGTTTGTGGGTTCGAGCCCCGCGTCGGGCTTTGTGCTGACAGCTCAGAGCCTGGAGCCTGCTTCAGATTCTGTGTCTCCCTCTCTCTCTGACCCTCCCCTGCTCACGCTGCCTCTCTCTCTCTCTCTCAGAAATGAATAAATCATTAAAAAAAAAAAAAGAAGAAGAAACAAAACAAATGAACAAAGGAAAAAAGAGACAAATCAAAAACCAGACTCTTAACTACAGAGAAGAAACTGATCATTACCAGAGGGGAGGTGGGTTGGGAGATGGGTGAAACACGTGAACACAGTTAAGAGTACATTTACTGGGGCACCTGAATGGCTCAGTCGGTTCAGCATCCAACTTTGGCTCAGGTCATAATCTCATGGTTTGTGAATTTGAGCCCCACGTTGGTCTCTGTACTAACAGCTCAGAGCCTGGAGCCTGCTCCGGATTTTATGTCTCCCTCTCTTTATGCCTCTCCCCTGCTCATGCTTTGTCTCTCTCTCAAAAAATAAATAAACATTTAAAAAAAGAGTACACTTACTGTTATTAGTACTGAGTAATGTGTAGAAATGTTGAATCACTATATTGTACATCTGAGACTAATATAACACTGTATGTTAACTACACTAAAATTAAAAAACAAAAACAAAAACAAAACATGAAGGGTCAGATAATTTCAATGAAAAAATTTATGAACTTTTAATTTTTATTGATTTGTTAGAGAAGATACATGTATGGTAATAATAGTAGATGAAACTTGCAAGTTCTCTAAATGACTCTAAATAAATATATTTAAGTGTAAATAGTAAGCATTATTACTTCTAACACTGTGAATCTTGACACAAAGTTGTAGGGTTTTTTTAAAATTTCTAATGATCTGCTTGCATATGTGATTCTATTTTCCAACTGACTATGGGAAAGGTATTAAATTTGTTCATCTATCTATAAAAAAGTTGTCTATTTGAAAATTATTTTTGTTTGGCTGAATAATTACCCTAATATGAACTTCTTTTCTTATAGATCTGAATATTCTAGATTGGAATTTTCAAAATCTGGTTGCTATAGCCCTTGGAGCCTCTGTGTACATCTGGAATGGGGAAAACCACAATAAGATTGAAAATATAGACTTAACTCTCAATTGTAACTATATATCTTCTGTGTCCTGGATAAAAGAGGGAACCTGTCTGGCAGTTGGCACCAGCGAGGGCGAAGTACAAGTAATGGATGGGTTTTTTCCTCCAAATATGCTCTGTATAATTGCTAGATATCTAAAATTGACATTTAATAGTAAGTTAATACACAATAGAGAAACTGTATTAGTTGTGGCACTTGAAACTAGGGAGAGTGGGGTGCCTTGGTGGCTCAGTCGGGTAGGCGTCACACTCTTGATTTTGGCTCAGGTCATGATCTCATGGTTCATGAGATCTGAACTGTGCTGTCAGCACAGAATCCCTGCTTGGGATTCTCTCTCTCTCTGCCCCTCACCCACTCACATACGTATACATTCTCTCTCTCTCTCAAATAAATACATAAACTTAAAAAAAAAAAGAAACTACAGAGAGTGAGAGGATATACCATTCTGGTTCTTTTCTGAATGTCATTTAATGAGGTCTAGATCATGACACAAAGAAATGGAAAAACATTCCATGCTCATGGATAGGAAGAATAAATATAGTTAAGATGTCATTACTACCCAAAGCTATCTACACATTCAATGCAATTCCAATCAAAATTGCACCAGCATACTTCTCAAAACTAGAACAAACTATCCTAAAATTTGTATGGAACCACAAAAGACCCCGAATAGCCAAAGGAATACTGAAAAATAAAACCAAAACGGGAGGGATCACCATCCCAGACTTTAGCCTCTACTACAAAGCCGTCATCATCAAGACAGTATGGTATTGGCACAAAAACAGACACATAGACCAATGGAACAGAATTGAGAACTCAGAAGTGGACCCAAAAGTATACAGCCAACTAATCTTTGACAAAGCAGGAAAGAATATCCAATGGAAAAAAGACAGCCTTTTTAACAGATGGTGTTGGGAGAACTGGACAGCAACATGCAGAAGAATGAAACTAGATCATTTTCTCACACCATGCACAAAAATAAACTCAAAATGGATAAAGGACCTGAATGTGAGACAGGAAACTATCAACACCCTAGAGGAGAAAGCA